TGCTCAGAAAACGGCTGAGAGCGGCCAGTCGTCCGGTCAAGCGTTGTAGGTCCTTGATAGTAGTAGGAGGCTGCATGTCGAGGATGGCTCGTACTTTCTCTGGGTTAGGCTCAATGCCTCGTTTGGTGACCATGTAGCCCAAGAACTTACCGCCTTGGACGGCGAACGCACACTTCTTGGGGTTCAGTCGGAGGTTATACTTTATCATTACTTTAAAGCAGTCGGCTAAATCCTCCGCGTGCTTGTCCTCCTCTCGACTCTTGACGAGCATGTCGTCGACGTACGCGGCCATCGACTTTCCTAGCAGGTGGTGGAATAACCGGGCGACCATTCGGGTGTACGTGGCCCCGGCATTTTTGAGTCCGAATGGCATGACTCGATAGCAATACACTCCGTCCGGAGTTAGGAAGGCGGTCTTCTCCTCGTCTGCCGGGTGCATGAATATTTGATGGTACCCTCTGAAGGCATCCATAAAACTGAGCAACGCCGACCCGGCCGTCTCGTCGACTAGCTGGTCGATTCGGGGCAGAGGAAACGGATCCTTTGGGCACGCTTTGTTAAGATCTGTGTAGTCTACACACATTCGCCACGTCGGGGGCTTGGGCACAAGGACCACGTTAGCCAACCATTCCGGGTACTTGACCTCACGGACGTGTCCGGCTGCTAACAGCGTGCTGACTTCTTTCTTCACAAACTCCCTCCGATCGTTTGCCAAATATCGTTTCTTTTGCACGACCGGCCGGTGCTCCGGGTCTACGGCGAGTCGATGTGATATGACCGATCGATCTACGCCGGGCATATCTTCTGGGCCCCAGGCGAAGACCAGCCGGTGTTCTTGGAGTACTCTTGTGATTTCCCCCTTTAGCTTCTCCGAAAGGCCGACTCCGATTCTCACTCGCCTGCTTGGCTGCGCTGGGTCCACTTCAACTTCCTCTAGCTCGACGGCCGGCTCCGGGCGTGGTATCACTGTTTTCTTAGGGGGCCTCTCGGTGATCTCATGGACCTGCATCCCACGCTTGCCCATACCTCTACATGCCTGCAGATAGCAGTCGCGGGCGACCTTGCGGTCACAACGCACCGTTCCTATTCCGTTCGGCGTGCGGAATTTCAGGCACAAATGTTCGATTGAGATCAGAGCCCCGAGGTCTTCCAAACCCGGGCGGCTGAGTATGGCGTTGTGTGAGCAGGCTAGATTGACCATGATGAACTTCATGCTCAACTGCTGCATATTCGGATAGCTGCCGATTTCCACAGGAAGAGTGATGGACCCTTCCGCCTCCACCGAGTCCCCGGTGAAACCGGCGAGAGGGGTGTTCACGGGCCTGAGCTGTTCTCGGGTCAGCCCCATCTTGGTAAAGGTCTCCAGGTACAGCACGTTGACGCTGCTCCCGGTGTCGACCAGGATTCGGCGAACGACCACACCGTTGATGTCCATGGCGATGACCAACGCGTCTCGATGCGGGGTTTCCCCGGCTGGCAGGTCTTTATCGGTGAACACGATGGGCTCCCGACATGTCTTTTTGGAGCTCTCTTCTCGACCATAGACTGTTCCGACATATAGCTGCCGAGCCCAGGCTTTTCGGGTGTTCGCGGAATCGCCGCCTTCTGGCCCACCGACTATTATGTTAATGACCGGCTTCTGGCGCCATTGGGCTTCGTCCTCTTCGGAAGCCGGCTGCTTGCCTCGGCTGTTTTCTGAGTCGGCGACGGGTCCCTCACCTCCTCGATCGGTCGACCTTCGCTTCCATTGGTTAGGGGGCGGTGTCCCTTGCTGGATGATCCCCTCCATAATCTTCTTTAGATAGTAGCATTCTTCTGTGCTGTGAGTATAAGATTTGTGATAGCGACAATATTTAGAAGTCTTACCCGTATCCTCGTCCGCTGCTCGGTCGTCCATCGGCGGAGGCGGAGGCGGGGCGACCACCTGTACTTCGCGGACTGGTCGCTCTGGAACCGGCCGATAGGTGCGAACGACGGGTCGATCATACGGTCGCCTGACCTCGGGTCGCCGGGCGGCATCCGAACGCCTTTCTCTCGTTTCCACCCGCGTCCTTTTTCCACTGGCGGACCCACCGACCTCACGCTGCCGTTTATGCTTCATGGCCTGCTCTGTGTTGGCCCTCTTATTGGCCATCTGGACAGCCTCCGCGTATGTCGCCGGGCGGTTGTCCCTTAGATCTCGATACAGCTGTCCGGATCGCAAAGATTCAATGAAGAAGGTGAGCGCTGTTTGGTCCTCCACCTCTTCTATCGACTGGATCTCCTTCTGCCAGCGAGCAAGATAGGCTTTCAAGGATTCGCCTTCATCCTGATGGATGTCGCCTAAGTGCGTCAGGTCCTTCTGTGGCTTGATGTTAGCGGCATAGTGGCTCATGAAGCGGTCTGCCAACTCTTCGAAGCTGTGGATCGACCCCGAGGGCTGACTTACAAGCCATCTTTGGGCGGGCCCCTTCAGCGTAGGTAAGAAGGCACGGCACATGACCGGATCCCGCACCCCTAGGACTTGCATCTTAGCTTGGTAACTCAAAAGGTGTTCTCGCGGGTCGCCTGATCCGTCAAATGTGGCTTGCTCCGGGAACTTAAAGTCGCCCGGTATCTTGAAGGCCATGACCTCGTCCGAGAAGGGCAAAGCGGTTAGCAACGTACGCCCCGGGGATTTGGCTTTTCCTTCCATCCGTTCTCTTAGATTTCGTACCTCTTGTACTAGGTTGGCCACTTCGACCCTTTCCCGGGTCCGATTCCCCGTGGATTCCGTGCTTTCGCCGACTTCGGACTCAGCCGGTTGGGCAGGGTTGCGAGGAGGTTGCTCCACGCGGCGAGTCTCAGTCCTGGCCCTTTTGGTTCGGCTCTTTTCTCGTGCGGCTTGTCGGTCGCGGGCGACTAATGGGGCACGACTGGGCTCCCTCCGGCCTAATCGCTCCCTTGCCGACCGACGTCCGACACTGGGACCCAGCCGGGAATGAACGGATTGCACCGGTTGGCTTTCTGCCCGTCGGCTCAACTGCCGATTGTCTGGCCTCTGAGGCGGTTGCAACTCGTGTTGCAACTGGCGAGTGATGGACTGTTCTCTCACTCCTAGGCTCGCTTCCGCGCAGGCACGTCCGATTGCGCGCAACTGCTCCGGGGTGAGCTGCACTTGAGGTAATTGCGGGTTTCTCAGCGGCGTCGGCGGCGGTGTCGGCTCGTTTTCATGGCTTCGGGCATTTCTTCTATTCAGCTGGTTTCTCAAGTCGGCCTCCCGTCCGTTGTCTTGACGGCTCGACTGTTCCCCGCTTCCAGCCATGTCTGGAGTTGGCCTGATTCAACTATTGTTTCTCGGACTCGCCTCACCCAAGTGGACACGTGACTCTTCGTTTCGATCCCCACAGACGGCGCCAGTGATGGTTTTTGGGTTTTCGGGCCCAAGGAGGTCCAACACAACCTATAGCTGGTGGATACACCTTTCACAAAAGGGTTTGAGTCTTAGTAGAATATGATGCTTAACAGTACTTGTCTATTCCCTCTCCGGGTCCTTGAAATCTGTCCCATACAAGGGTGGAGGAGCCCTCTTTATAGTGGCTCCTCCTCTACTGACTTAAAGGCTTATGATGGCCGACTTAAAGATTACATTCAATGTGCCGAGCTGTTGGGCGACGTTACGGAATCTGCCAACGGCTCTCTTTGGCTAGTAACTGGCGGACCGAGCCCGGCCTTTAATGCCTCAACGGCTCCTTGTCTTAACGGCGTTGAAGGCTCCCTCAACGGCTCTCTGGACCGAGTCCTCTCCTAGATCGGGCCTGGGCCGACTCCCTGTCCCCGTTTGGCATTGGGCCGCCCTTCCGGTTTCTGAACTGGGCCTCCCTCTTTGGATCTGGGCCGAGTCCTAGACTCGGCCCATGCATTCTTTCTGAGCCTCTTTTCTTGGGCCGGGGTTCTCACCCCATCAATCATTTTAATTAACTTGAAGTATTGTTATAATGACCCTATGCTCATATTTGATACATATAATTTTTTAACGAACCTATAATATTATTATAATGAACCTCAATCCATGGTAGAATTTGTCATGTTCTTCTATCGCAATACTAGTGCAGATACAACCAACTACAATATAATGGTCACTTTAAATACTATAACAGCACATTTGGTTCACGAAATGAATTTTAAGGTAATAGGAATGCTATTTCATAAGGAATGGAATATGTAAGGAATAGAATAGGGATTGTATTCTTTTGTTTGGTTCGCGCAAGTAATAGACTTTAGAAATTATATCACATTGTTTGATTGGTTTAAGGAATAGAAATGATATATGTTTTAAAAAAATATAAATACCCTTATAAAAATATGTGATGGTAGTGGTGGCGGCGATGGCGGCTGTGGTGGTGGTGGTGGCGGCAGCGAACCAGCGATGGTGATGGTGGTGACAATAGCGATGGTGACGGTGGTGACAATACTGATATAACTGATATATATATATATATATATATATATATATATATATATATATATATATATATATATATATATATATATATATATAAAGGGTATTTTCGATATTAGAGTACAAAAGCTATTCCCAAATACTTGAGAATAGCTAATACGAGGAGTCCCCTAAGAATGGTTATTCCCCCTGCAAAGGGAATAGCTCATTCCCGGAAATATTATTCCCAGCCATGAAGAGACAAACCAAACAATGGAATAGGTCTATTCCCGAGAATGGTATTTCATTCCCGACCTATTCCATGAACCAAACACGCTGTAAATTAACAATTTTGCATTTTGTTTCACCCAACCACATTTACCAAACAAATTTCTTTACCAAAAATGTCTACTACTCATTCAATTTTAGTTTCTACTTCACATTTTTTCACTCTATTAAAGATCAATGGTGGCTAATTGGGGAAGAGTGCATTTTCAACTTGATAAAAGAATTATATATGAAATGCAAATAACGTGCGGTTATATATTTATATAGAGTTAATTCCAGCAAAGGTTCTTTGTCTTTAGTGCAATTCCAAATATAGTCTCAAACGTAACTATGAATTTTGTTATTTAACACCTCAGACTATCATATTTTGGACACATCCAAATCAAATGCGATATCCATGTTAGATTCACACTCATAGTTAATGCCAGTAGTCACATGAGTCGTTGAAACAGAGAACAATCCAAATGGCAGATGACCAGTCTGAAATTAGATCTTGAGCTGCATGCTTTTGATCTATTTCAAGGGCTCAGATCATTCATTCATTTCAATCCCACTTCTCTATTCAAGGGTGGAAAGTGAGAGGCAAAACTATTTTCTTGCCATTAAATCTTGTACTAACCTTAGAACCTCGTTGCGCATCTCCGAAACAGCACTGGAGTTAATCTGTTCCTTCAAGGAAGGAAACCACAGATCAACATTATCCTTGGATCCACTGCTTGCATACCAATTACAAATTACCCTTGCAATGGCGAGGACGTATACACCACAATCGTATCCGTTTTCTTGCTTTGGTGTGTCAGGGTAGTCGATATAAGAAGCGTCGGTTGTTGTATAAGGAAGAATGGCATTGTAGACCCGTTTGGCATCCCACTTGTTCATGCCCGAGCTGCTATCGTGATGCACGAACACATTGGTGTTTCTCTCAAATGCGAGTAAGCTCCAATGGGTGCCCCCTTCAGCTAGATTCACATCAGAGTTATTATTGATTGGAAAGATGATCAACTTCCTTCGAGAAAGATGGAGGGGTTCTACAAAGTCTTTAACACTTGCGGCGTCTGGGCACTCTTTTATCCAGAAAGCAATTGAAGGTGATACCAGTAATACGTCCTCAGATGGAAAGCTGGAACTGAGATAGCTCAAATAGAACTCAATAACGCGGTCATTTAGAAAATATGGACCGCTGAGAATGTCTAGATCTGATCGCCTGAGTACAACATCATTGTAACTGAGAACCTTGTCACTGGCTTTCGGAGCCATGCGTCCGTTGAAACTGTGTGCATGGAGAAAAGCAATTAAGTTACATAATATGCAAAATGCAACACAAAAATGTGAGGAAAAAAAAAAAAAAACCCAACAACAGCAACAATCATGAGCTATAACAATATTTCTAATTGCTCTGAATTTATCAAATATTCAATAGGGCATTCTTGCCCCAAAAGGCTGAATCCCAATCCCCAGCCTAATAGAGCATTTGGGAGGATATAAATCACGGTAACTTAGCGGCTCAGCATATAGGGCCTAATGCCGGTGCGCACAAGGGATCTGCCCACTTTGGGCATAATCCACACACAGCCGCTGCGAGTTTCGGACCTTGGTCTCTTGCCCAAATTACTGCCTACTGAACCAGTAAGCTAAGCTCGAGTGGGTTTCAATAGGCCATTCTTTGCATGCTTTATTGAACCCATATGATTATCAAAAACTTTAAATATCTAAATGCTTACTCTATAATATCAGAGTATTAGCAATGCCAGAGGTGACTTCACCAATTCGTTGGAAAGTTTAGTGATTATTTGATGAATGATATATTGCAGCTATACAAGAACATTTTACTGAAACATGTGCAAAGTAGAATGAAGCAGGAAAGCGGAGAAACTGAAAGAGGAGGAAACGGTCTAGGGATTCTCCTGAACATTCCTTAAAAATAACAAAAAAAGAAGAAGATAACATTGACAAAAAAGCTTCAGAAAGCTCTTGAAACTCAATTATAATTCAACTCAACAGAAGATGTTTATGAAGTACTAAAGACACAAAAATAAAACAAATCTATATGTAGCTTAATCCAACCCCAGCATGGATTCAACTAAATTTGGATTGAACTTAAAACTGGACCACAATAACATATCCAAGTAAATCAAAAACATGATTTTCTATCCTACACCCCCCCCCCCCCCCCCCCCCTTTCTTTTTTTTTTTTTTATTTCTTTTACTAATATGATCCATAAACCAGGAAAAATTATTGAGCTTGACAATAAAGAAGTCATTGCATCATCCTGTCCTTTAATAGCATGTCAATATTAGCAGTAACAAAGCCAAATATGACTCACTTGTAACCCATTATCTTATTAGCTCATTGAACTTAAAAAAAAAAAAAAAAAAAAAAAAAAAAAAAAAAAAAAAGAAAAAAAGAAGCAATTGAGTTGGCAACAAATCAGTGAGTAATCCATTATTCCATTGGCCCATAGAATTCAAGTTAATTTGTAATCACTATCCTACAAACTCATATGCATAGAAATTAAAATGGTAAAAGAGACTTGCATACACAACTGGCAACCTTATAGTCTCATAAAACTCAAAAGCAACAGACTTGACTAAAGATTGAAATGCAACCCATTATCAAGGAATGCAGAAAGAGTTACATGCAAATTACTAACATTTTAATTCAGTATATTACATCAACAAAATTATTTTGAGCTTCAAATTAATCCTAATCAAATCAGAGATTTCAGGAAATTTTAAAATCAAATTAAACTGCAGAAGCAAAGAAACTAGGAAATGGCTCAAAGGTTAAACAGAAAAGGAAACCCAGAAGCAGAAAATGCTAAGCATACCTACTCAGGCGAGTCGCAGCGATTTGCTGATCCGCTAGGACGATTCTAGTAATTGAAGGAACTCTGATTAATTTTTGGGATAATTTCACTCGATGCCTGGCATTTGAAGAAAGTGATTCTTGAACCCCTTATCATTTTCGGGATTTACATTATGACCCCTAAAGTTTCCTTACTAATTTCATTCCACTCTACGATATTAATCAATTGATAGCTAAAACAAGTTATAGCTGTTTGTGGTAAGTATCAGGGTTTGAGTTCTAAAATATATGCTGATTTCTGCATTTCGTTTCATATACATAGTGTTTTGTTCAACTTTCAATTTAGTTTGTATAATTATTTAAAATTAATTATTTTTAATATAATTACATGTATGCTTGCGAGATTTAAACATTCAATGTATTGGATAATAAAAGTTAACCACTACGTACCGTTTTAGTTAGGGGTGTCAATGCGGGCCGCCCCGACCCATTAGGCCCGCTCCACCGCGGGCTTTTTATTTGGCGAGCTTTTGCGGTTCGGCCCGCGAAGTCCGCGGGCTTGGAACTACATAGCCCAAGCCCGCCCCATGCGGGCTTGCAGGTCTCGCGGGGTGGCCCGCAGGCCATCAGTTCAATTTAAAAAAAAAAACAGTAAATAGTATATAAACATGTTAAAACCGCTTGAAATATGTCGCCATTTATTGGTCGTTCTTTCACATCCTCACGGTGTATGATACACCTCAATGCACTGGAAACTTCCATAAAATCCATCAATCTCGCCCAAATCTCACTGATCGATACCGCGCGTTAAGTAGAACTGCAGAAGGGTGATCAAAGCTAGGGTTCAACGGCACACTCTATTTCTCTCTCGGCTTCATGTTTTCCCTCTACAGCCCCGTCTGTGTATAATACATATATAAATATGTATGTTTGCTGAGTTGGAGGCGATTTAGTAATTCATAAATATGTATGAATTGATGATTTAGTTTTGACGGAGACAGGAGAACCGGAGAACTACGTACTCTAGGAATTATTGAATTAAGAATTGACGAAGGATTATTCAATTAATTGGATTTCCCTATGCACTCTTAGATGGGTCAGATCTACACACTGCCTAAGAATGAAGATATTTTATATATATATATATATATATATATATATATATATATATATATATATATATATATATATATATATATATATATATATATATATATATAATTTTTATTTTTTTTTTAAACTATGGCCTGGCCCGCAACCCGTGCGGGTTTGCCCGCGCAGGCTTTGGCCCTCCGTGGGGCCAAGCCCGTTAGGCCCGCATTTTTACGAGTCTAATTTCCTACAGCCCTAACCCGCCCCACCGCGGGGCGGGTGCGGGCTAACCCGCGGGCTTCGGCCCACTTTGACACCCCTAGTATTAGTACACACTCATCTTGCCATTTTATTAAATGATAATCGTAGTATATGCAGGATGGAAAAAAAGGTTTGGGAAAGGTGAAGCTTCCCCGGGATGTCGTTCTCTAAGGATGGCGAATGAAAACTATTGAATATTGCGCGGCTAAGCACAAGTGCGTAAGAGCCGTAGAAAGCTAGGTGTCAAGACTAAACAAAGAGTATTATCAAAGTAACAACTGAAAGTAAAGCAACAAGTAATTCTAAAGAAGCAAGTAAGTGAATGAAAGGAACTAGGGCTAGGTGTTCCTTGGTTGGATGCAATAGAATGACCCTAAGTATAGGAAGTAGCTAGTGTAATGCATTGATCATGAATCATGATTCTTGAAAGATGTTTCCATTGTCAAGTCACTCTCGTGGTCTATTTGGCTTATCAAGTAATAAAATCATACTCTCATATATACCAACCTTACTAATTGAGACATTTCATTGAACACTTAGAATCCACATCTTCTTCCTAGCTCTACCTGTCGATGCAAGGTGAGAATTGCAAGGTCAATCTCTTGGCAACTACACACCTCCAAAACCTATTGCATTATGTATCACCATACAATAGTATATACAAAGTCCACTTTCAACAAGAATCAAATCAATACATCAAGTCACTTTCTAATTGCAATCAAAACATTCTAGCATCCTAACAAGTAAACCTAATCCTAATTCCCTAAGAATTAACTAGACATTATCACAATTGAATAGCTAAGATGAAGAATCAATGGAATCATTTGAAATGAAAAGTAAATTGCAATTGGTAAGAGCACTTAGCTTTGAAAGCACAATCTTAAATCTCCAAGTTAATCTTCACAATTGTAAGTTGGAATGAATCCCCCTAGGATCCTTAGATTAATGTGTCAAGTTGCGCCAAGAATCCTAGGAAAAATCCTCTCTTTAAAACTTAAAGTACAAGGCTTAACAATTGGTAAAAATATCGTCCCCCCCGCCCCCCCCCCCCCCCCCACGAAAATGAGAACAAAGTCGTATTTATAGCTTAAAATTTGCTCCGTCTCACATAGCTTATCATTCACGCGGCAATGACCCGCGTGACCAGCAAAAGCAGTTTGCAGAAGTTGGCATCACGAACTGCATCACGCGATAATTTGTGGCGTGATTATATTCTGACCTTGAAGATATTCAAATAAGATTGTGGTCTATAGTAAAATTGTAGACCTTTGAGTTGTCATTCCAATGCTACTTGAATTACCTCATTTGGACAGTTCTTGCCCAAGATATAATCAAAATACCAAACTATCGCCGAAGTGCACTTAAAAAGACATTGTTTTCCTATATTGCACAAATGCAACCACAATTAGTCCTTATTCTTAATTTTAATCAAGATAAGCTATTATAAGTATATAATAAACTCAAAGGACTCCAATTATAGCATAAGATTCCTCCCAAATACCCCACAAAACATACTCCACAATTATTTTATTTTAATAAATTAAGTCATATGTATTTTAATATAAAATATAAAAATTTTAATTGTTAAAAAACTAAAACTCTGAATAAATTGAAATATTAAAATTTAATATTCATTATTAATTTTTATCAACGTAAATTAAATTATTTTTATATCAATATAATCTTCTTTTTTTTTTTAATGAAACTTCTAAATACAAATAAACTTTTCTACTAGTCTCATTTTTTTTAATGATATTTAATTATACTTTACAATAAAATGACAAGATGAGTGTCTAAGTAAGGTGTCAGTGGGTACTTTAATTTTTGTTATGCAATATAGGTTGAGTGTTTAAATTTCAATGTATGTAAATAATCATTTATTGTGTACATGTTAAAAATAATTAATTTTAAATATTTATAAAATAATATATGAATTTACATGTAAATATCAAGACGTGATAAAAATAATGTCAGTGTCACGTCAGTAGTTTCTTCCGTTGACATTTCGCTCTCTTTCTTGAGGTCAACTCTGAGATCCACAACAATGCTCTTGCTCACATCGCCTATGGGCACGTAAGAGCATTACAAATTGTATATTGTGACGGTCGCCAAATCATGTATGTGGAACTTTAAATTCATGAACTTTGACATGTATAAATGTCTCAATTCCCAGTTCGCAATGTTAGAATAATTATTGATGTGGCTCATTAATTAATTATTTTAAGTTCCTCAATTAAGATAAATATTCATTTTAAATTTAATAATGTTCTAATTTTATTATTGGTCAACTAAGAGATAATATCAGTTGTAACCGTTCAGTTTATCTCTCATGTTGATGAAATGTGAGAATATAAGGGTTTTTATTTGAGACTATGGTCGTTTCTCTCGTCTTCCGCATAACTAAGGCTCTCTCCATCGAAGTTCTTAGATTAAGGAAATGCTAAAGGTCTGGAGGGAGAAATCAAATCTTTAGTTCAAGCAACACAGGGAAAGATGGAACTATGTATGCTCATTAAACGTTAATTAATGCATTATACGTGAAAATTATTGTGTTCCGAAGGCCCTGCATGCTTAGGAGTATAAAATTAACATTTGGTATCATAGCTATGTTGAAGGACATATGATTTTTTAAAGATGCAAATGGACAAACAATATAATTGCATTAATGTTCTTAATTGAAACTGCAATATTATATGAATATTCTAAATAACATCTGCTCTCAATTGTAAATTGCAACATTAAATGTGGATATGCTTTGAATGATTAAATATGAAATATATATTAGCGCAGCACACAATGATGTTGAAACTGACGTTGTAACACAAACGATCTGTAACGCAGTTCAGGCAAACAACCCTAATCTGCGAGGCACTTCTCAATTTGAGAACTTGCCTAAATCCACTAAAAGCTCAATATTTAAAGTACACTGTTTGGAACCTGAGATTACACAATAGAATGATCTTTCCTACCAAACTATTGAAACCTAAACACATGTACTACTTTCTAGGGGAATTTAGTATCCTATTCTCAAAGACTCTCGTACCTCACCAGATTAATGTTGAATGCTTGAGTTTTACAAGAAAAGACAACCCCTATTTATAGTAGCTATTCCTAACAGATTCGTGAATAATAAAGCTATTCCTAATCAGACTAGAACTAAACACTTCAATAACAATTCCCTTTAGAGCTAGTACTCTTCAATAACTACTCCTCTTAGGCTTGGTATTCCTTTATAGATCTGGTATTCCTTTTGCACATAACTTTGACAAAACACTTTGAGTCAACAATCTCCCCCTTTGTCAAATTTTTGGCAAAAACCTTGATCTCATAGTGGCTTGATTTCCTATTCTTCTCCCCCTTAGTTGATTCTTCTCTCCCTAAACTTGATTCCTGGAGTTCTTGGAAAAAAAAAAACTTGATACTTGTATTTGAATGTGTGAGTGAAGAGAATTCTTCACTGTCTCTGTACATTTTACCAATGTGTGGTAAAGTAGATCCACACAGTCACAAAAGTAGAGGATTTGATCATAGATAAGTTCAAGTGGTTTTGGATCTGTAAATCAAATTTCGCCATTCACGCAGGGCAAAGCCCGCATCATGCATTTCATTTGGAAGAGGAAGCACCGGGCCATCAGAGATGAATATTCCGGTGGAATCTTCTCCGAGATCATATGGATTTCCATTGCCGTTTGAAACCGGAACGGTAGAGGATCCGAAAGCTGGGTGCGGATCCGACCCG